GGGACTCTACGGGACTCTACGGGCACACTACGGGACTCTACGGGACTCTGCGGGACTCTACGGGACTCTACGGGACTCGACGGGACTCTGCGGGACTCTACGGGACTCTACGCAACTCTACTGCACTTAACAACACTCAACGGCACTGTACAGCCTGCGATAGGGCTCGGAAACATTTGAAAAACGCTCGATAACGCTCGAAAACGCTTGATAACGCTCCAAAACGCTCGAAACCGCTCTACAAATGATCGAGGAACGCTCGAAAACGTTCAAAAACGGTCGAAAAACGCTCGATAACGCTTGAAAACGCTTGAAAAACGCTCGAAAACACTCGAAAACGGTCAAAAAACACTCGAAAACGGTCGAAAAACGCTCAGTAACGCTTGAAAACGTTCGAGATCACTCGAAAACGTTCGAAAACGCTCGAAAAACACTCGAAAACGCTCGAAAAACGCGTGAAAACGCTCGATAAGGATTGAAAACACTAGAATATCACTCGATAACACTCGAAAACGCTCTGAAAATGCGTGAAAACGCTCGAAAACGCTCTGAAAATGAATGAGAAACGCTCGAAAATGTTCGATAACTGTCGAAAAACGCTCGATAACGCTAGTAGGGAAATATAAAAATCATGCCGCATGGTATTACCATCACGAGTACGTGAGCCACCAACGGCGACTGGTAGATGGTACCGCCATCGCGAGTGCGCGAGCTCCTATCAGAAATTCGTTGCGCCGCCCTTGGGGACAAAAAAACGGTGAAAGCTAATGTACGAAACCAAAGGGCAGCACAGGATGCGATCGCATGATCCTGCCCGTGAGCAATCTCCCAACTCATCTCTGTCTCCGAACTCATTTCTGCTCATCTCTCCAACTTGTATCCGAATGAATGTGGTTTCGGTGGTGTGTTAAAAAAATTCATGATTTAGAAACAGCCAATCAGAGCTGATCATGATCCCACCATTTTTAGGCGGAAAATATAAAAGTGCATCAATAGAAAACTTGCATCATACAAATGCAAAATTATTTATGCTTTAACAATACGATATAAATTCAAAATGTGATAGCCTTTGATACAGCACAGTTTGGTAAAGCACGAATCTTTACTACACTTTGTAAGTAAATTACCAAATAATTATTTTTTATACTTTACTGATTGTACTTTATGAACATTCTATCCTTATGTTAATAATATCCTTATTATAAGTCAAAACGTTTCAGTTTAGCATCGAGTTCATCTATTTCTTGTAAAGACGTCTCTTGGGTCATGTTTTCCAAAAATTCAGCCATTATACGTCGTTTCTCGTGCGAGTCCTTTGGAAATCGTTCTTTACGTACTTGAACGACCCATTTCTCATAATTCTCTGGTTGATTGAAGTAATGGAACAGAACAACTGGAAATGCCGTGTACAACATCATTTTAAACACTTCTAATTGCCAGTTGCCCATTTTTGAAGATTCTGCAATAGAACATGACATACAACGAAACCTCTCGAACGTAAAAACATTCAGCACATCGTACACTCTCAATTTCCCAAAGCAACTTGAAATAGCAAATAGATTACATTGTGAATTCTCTTTCGATGAACTATCAGTGACTATTCAATTTTCTGCATACCTATTCTAATCTGAAATGCACTTTTGTACATAACCTCACCTGAATAAGAAATTCTTCGTAAACGAGCGACAGGAAATTCCGTACAGCAGCAACTGAGATTAATGCAGATTAAGCATGAAAATGACGTATTCGTTTGTTGATGATTATCATTAAACAGGTTGAAAGATTCCCCGAAACATTAATAGCCACAGAATGTGATTTAACTTTGAGTTGCTTCCCCACCGTACGACACCACTAGTTCTCGATTTCGCCACTCGTAACAAGATGGAGCCAGTTACCGTACACGCAGAATCACGTTGAACACTTTTAAAAGGCATTCTCATCCCTTTAATTCTGTAGATTGATTCCAAACCTTAAAAAGTGACAGCTCGTTTACTTTGCAACGCCCCCACGTATTCATTTCTCGAAATTTCAGTCCCGCGTTTCCGAAATAAGGTAAACATTTCGACAATTTCTCGAGCTTTCGAAAATCGTCCTTTTAGAAGTTAACCCTCTCGACGTTACGGTCTCGACTTCAAAAAGGTGAGCGCCGAGTTTTTTCTTTTGGTTTAGACGTGTTTATCTCATTTAAGAACCAAGGGAATTGATTGTTAATTGATTTCAGGTGAGCCTCGTATTCTTAAATTTTACCCGATACTGTGTTCTGAAAAGCGCACACACGGTTTACGAGCAAGGTCATATAATGTAATCTTTAGATAAGATGCTACGTTTTTCCGGATTTCCTGCTTGTCAGGCGATCTTCAGTCGTAGTTTGATCGTAGCCTGGTCGTGGCCAAGTTGAGGTAAATTTGGCTGTATGCGTCCTTACTGTTCGAAAAGTGAGGTAGCTATTCAAGGCGAGTGCAGCTACCTTGGAGGGAGCGGAACCGCGTGGCAATAGGATCCTAAAAAGAGAAAAGTTAGGTAATGGCCAGCGAGAGCGAATCATGGAATGTATTGGTAACAGGGGGTGCTGGTTACATCGGTTCTCACACGGTGCTGGAACTTCTTAACGCAGACTTTAAGGTGGTGGTTATTGACAATCTTTCCAATGCCTACAGAGGTGAGATCCTATCACTTTCCCCAGGCTTGTTAAGCGATTGAGGTTGTATCCATATGTTAATATCGATTAGATAAGAGTCATGGGCTGGGGTACCAATGCACGATCCTGTATTATGAGTCTCGTAAACTTCGAGAATAGGGGAAATGCGTTGCACCCAGTCGAATAACGTTGCTCTCGCTATTGTATACTTCTCCTTAAAAAGTAGCTATTATTAATTTTAGTAATATTAACTAGAAAGTAATTATTATACATTATTAACGCATTTGGGGCATAGGAAGTACATATTCTTACTGTTTCTAGGACCCTCCGATGAGAAGCCTGAATGTCTTAACAGAGTAGAAAGGTTGACAGGGAGAAACCTTGTTTATATAGAATGTGACATTAATGACATAAATGCATTAAAAAGTGTTTTTGAAAAGGTAAAAATATCGTCCTTGAATGTTATTCGGTAAAAATTAATCATAGCTGGCTCTGGTATTCGCAAAGATAACTTTTCCATATTCTACAGTACAGTTTCCAATGCGTAATACACTTTGCTGCATTGAAAGCAGTAGGTGAATCTTGCGAAATTCCTTTGGAATATTACAAGACTAATGTCAGTGGAACCTTGAACTTGCTGGAAATTATGCGGGATCATGGTGTAAAAAATTTTATTTATTCGAGCAGTGCCACAGTTTATGGTATTCCAGAATGTCTGCCACTGACTGAAAACACAAAGACAGGGAATTGTACAAATCCTTACGGAAGAACTAAATTCATTGTCGAGGAAGTTTGTAAGGATTTATGTGATTCTGATAAGGTATGGAAGTAGAACTCGTTAATTTAACATTTTTTTTTCCTTTCAAATATCTGTTATGATTATTTAAACATATGTGCATACTCATGCCATATCGCAACATGCGATTATTAAAACAAATATGTGCAATCAGATCTGTCGGTAATATTTATTTCTAATGGAATGTTTATTGATAATTATAGCGTTGAAGTAGGTCAATTTACGATGAATTATTTCAGGCTTGGTCTATTATATCATTGAGGTACTTCAATCCTGTAGGTGCGCATCCTTCGGGAGAAATTGGAGAGGATCCTAATGGAGTCCCGAATAACCTAATGCCCTTTATTGCACAAGTGGCAGTTGGGAAGAGAAAGATGCTTTACGTTTATGGTAATGATTACGAGACTCCTGATGGTACTGGTAAGTCAAAACACGAGTCTAATTTCAATATTGACATGTAAGGCTCAGTCCGATATGATTAATTTGGTTACGTCGTATTTTATGGGATTCATGCCTGCATGCATACAAGTTAGACTTTGAATGTACATATTTAATTATTTTTATATTATTTCTAGGCGTTCGAGATTATATCCACATAGTCGATTTGGCATTAGGTCATGTGAAAGCAATGATTTATCAAAAGACCCAACATCCACTAGGATTTAGAGCGATTAATTTGGGCACGGGAAAAGGGTATTCTGTGCTCGAAGTAATAAGTGCCTTTGAACGGGCTTCCGGTAAAAAGATTCCATATGAAATAGTGGAACGTCGACTCGGGGACATTGCTGCTAGTTACGCCGATGCTAGTTTGTCGAATGCAGAATTTTCCTGGACTGCTAAAAAGAACTTGGACGAAATGTGTAAGCGGGCGATTTTATATCATCTTTATTGTTCCCCATTGATATCTGAGGGCGTCGGTAACAAATTTTTATTGTCGTCTTAGTATCCCGTACATTTCGTCGGGCTCCGTTTTTTGTTCGTGACGTCCTCTGATACGATACATATTTAGATCATTATAACTTGTTAAATGGATATCGGATCTCAAGTATAATCTGTATCAATCTGTCGATATAATTATATGAATTCATGTTAACAGGTGCAGATACGTGGAGGTGGCAGGTTAACAACCCGAATGGCTACAAAGTACCTCAAAGATAGCTTTCTGCTGCTGAACAATAACACAATTTTTATATAAAGGGATTACTTTAAAGGGGCGTATTTCAGTACGCAAAACGACACGTGTACTCAAATGATATTGCTTTTAATAGGGAATGGGTGGTGCATCGTTACCAAAGATCTAACCAAATTACAAAGAATATTTCATTTTATCTCTATATTTTTATTGGACAGTGTACGAAAAGTTCCTAAGGTATAGAGTTGCAAAAATGTGAAAATGCAAATGAATGGAATTACCGTTTATTAAATAGTTTCCTCCAGGTTCTCTGTTTTCACGTCCACTGATTTATCGTCAACATCGGAACAATTTTTTGTCAAATCGTCTTGTTCGTTCATCTCAGTATTTTCCCCGGATGTCATAGCATGCTTATCTTCCTTGAATTTATTTCTTTCTACGCAGAAAAGCAATAGTCAAACACACATGGAATAAAATCAAGGCAAGACTTAACATGACTGAACATACCAAACTTTGAGCAGTCAGCTCCTAAAAGTCTTAAATAATGAATAGCGTCGTGAACAGGAACGTAAGCTCTTAGTGACATCGTTCCTCTCCAACCCACGAGTTCAAAATTCAATGGATACGGACTACTCGTTTTTTCCTCATTGTATAGAAGAATACAACTACCGATAGCTGAGGAAGAAACGAAAACAGTATGATGACGTTACTTGGAATAAAATATACATCTTTTACGGAAAACAGATTTTAGAAAATTTGAATAACATAACCCCTTAAAGCACTTACCAACATCTTTCAGCAGATTTTGTGTCCCCACGCTCAAGTGAACAATTTCCGGTGGAGTTTGTGGGTCACTGCTCTGAAGAAGCATAACCAAGTCTTCCCTGGAGATGCGAACCTTTCTACTGTCTCCGATATAATGAAATATACTGTGCATTCCTTCCTGAGCAAGTCTGAATGCGCACTTCATGTTTTTATTGTCACAACGGACAAAGGTTTTCACTCCAGTATTAATAATTTTCACCTTACTTTCGTTCAACAACACAATGTCACGAATTGCTTGCGATGTAAAGTAGATATTTTTCTTTTTACCCTCATGACATCTTACTAGAAGACATCGAGGATCCAGGTCATCTTGTATTTCATAAAAATCTCTACGTATAAATTGATCGACATCAATGACATGTACAGGGACAAAATGTCCAAACGTAGAGATCTAACTCACTTGATTGATGGCCACACATCCTCCTTGTCATCTTTAAAAAAAACAAAAGGATCTTCTCGATAACCAATCATTCTCTTACGTTTCCGCCGTGGCTTGTTTTCATCTATTAGAGGTCGTTTGCCATCCTGTGATTCCTTCCTTTTTTCTATTTCTGCTTCCGCTTCCTCCTCAAGATTCAATTCCTCTTTTTCATCTCCTTCAAGTGACTTGTTTGGTTTAACATCCACTATACTCGATTCCTTTTCCCAAGGCAATGGCATAATTTTTTCTAAGACTGCTATAAAGAAACCACCTGTATCTTGATGATGTGGTAATATCCTCATACTGCAAAATTAAATGTACGTAAAAGAGTTTCTGATTTTTGCATAAATTTAAAGATTTTTACATTTCTAAACACTAGACCTTTACAAACTTGAGGATGGTAGACAGAATGTGGATGGTAGAGGAAAATAGAGAATTATCAGGAATTGGTATGAAAATAGGTTTATTGCATTTACCTTCGTTCTAAATGAAGCTTGGAGGCATCCGCCGGATTCGGAGGAAACATTTTAGGCCGAATTTGCGTTTGCCACTGATCGGGCACTTCCTCCCATGAATTGTAGAATTGCAGATCTTTTGACGCAGGTAACCAGTGACTGACACCTAATCGTGAGAGATAACTTAGTAATTCTCAATACCTCTGTCCAGGAGTTTAGAATACTAACCTGGGTTACATTTAAGACCTGGCACTAAATCCCTACAGTCCCTAAGGCAAACTGACCCATTTGTTTCTTCTAGTAATCTATGAAGTACACCTTCATTTTCAACAGGATTCAAAGAACACGTCGAGTACACCATTCTTCCTCCAACGGCGAGCAACTCCAAACCACGTTTTGCTATTCTGTATTGAATCCTAGAGGGAATGAAACATGTTACCTTATGTGTACTAAATATATAATGACAAAGTATTTACCCATGGAGATTATTTCCATTTGCTGCGCTCCACTTGCACCATATGTCGGGATTTTTCCGCATTGTCCCATCACCGCTGCATGGAACATCGGCCAATATTCTATCAAACCTGTAAACATTATGTGTCATTAATGAAATTAATATTTTTATAAAAGAGCCATTCAGGAAAAATAACATTTACTAACTTTAAAGTACCTTTGGTACCATCAGAGTTGGTAATGTCAAAATTAGGCATAACGGATGAATCGTGATTTGTAATGAGAATATTTGGACTATTTAAACGTTTAGCTTGATGAACCAGCATATAACAGCGATTATTGTCGAGATCATTAGCAATTACGAAGCCATCTGTAGAATTAAAGAAATAACTATTACTGGTTGTCAAGATTTCATTAAAAAATAAATGAAAAAGAAAAAGTAAGGCTCTGCTACCAGGAGGTACATGTTTCTCTTCTGCATGTATCATTTCAATTAATTGTGCAGTCTTTGATCCAGGAGCAGCACACATGTCAAGGACCTGTTGAAATATTTTTAAATTATTATATTATTTTAGCCTGGTACATGCATATAAATTACACAGACCTTGTGCCAAGGTTTAACATCCAGGAGAATCGGAGGGATCATGCTGACCACTTCTTGCCGGCTAATACTTCCACTGTTAGTCTCAGCTATTAAAAAATTATGAAGCCTGAAATAAGCTTCCGATCTTCTGATATCCTTTCGAGTAAGCTGTAACTGCCATGCAAGGTCTTCCGGGTAAAATGGCAAACACCGAGGCTCTATTCTCACCTCGGTTGACTGGTCACCGTCTTTGGTCTCTTTCGTGTTTAAAATTTCTTTGAAAAAATCCCCTTTAATAATTTCCAGCAGTGCTTTCGCTTCTGCTTTGGAGCCAGTAATTCTAAATGCCACAGGAAGATTCTCCCTCATGGTACCGATAAATGCATCCCACTCGTCATCTTGAATTATTTGTTGAGTTTTATAGTACTTCTCAAAGTCTTTGTTCTCCCTGATGATATTGGCATAACTACGATGTGGTATTTTGTCCCATTCGTCCCTGTTCTACACATTTTATAACTTAATTGTTAAAATACTCGACGCATTTATATTGTGAACGTATCGAGTTAAGGCACAGCGAATACAGTGCTTCTCATAACCTCACCTTCCTGCCAATAATTGTAAGTAAGCAACCGTACAAGACAGATAATTACCTTTTGCTTTTCACGACGTTTCTCTGCGAAGTTTTTCTTCGGCTTGTGCCGGCGTCCCTTTCCCATAATTATTTATACGTAAAACTTGAAAACGTATCTCGGGCACGTGTTCGTTAGCCGAACCTCAGAAAACCCGGTGAACACTGATTTAACTAGAAGCATATTCATGCATTTGTTAAGAGTGGTATAAACGCCATCTTACGTCGGTACTACTGATAAGAAAGGATATATTTATGTCAAGTATGGAGCAATTTCGACAAGGTGCCGCTAGATGTCACTGACTTTTACAGCGCGCAATCGGAAATACCATAAACCTAGGAATATAGAGACAAAGTGTATCATTTCGACTATATTTTGTCGATTCTACATTTAAATGGAGTTTTTCCTACTTAGTGATATGAAAAATACCAGTTCAATCAATTTTGCCTTGCGTGTTCTCTTGTGCCCCTTTCCAGGTTAGGTGGATCATAACAGGATCCGTTTTTTTTTTTTTCAAGTCATCATGGGTAGTTTATCGTTGGTAAAAAAGAAAATGGATGGCTGGCCGTTCGAAAGAGGGCAAGATGCAAGGTTTTAGGCGTCCGTCGCATGTCACGGGCCGATGCTTTTAACGAGTCATAAAGCCGTGAAAAAGGTTCTCATCGTAAAGCGCAGCTCGCGGAAAGAGGATTCGTTAGGCGTTCGTCCCGAGAGAAGAGGGTCGGGTATTTTCCGAAAACGCCTATATACACATTTGTCGTCGCCTTCTCGCCCCTCGGCGAGTTTCGCGAACTCGTCTGCCCGTTGACGGTTATTACGGCATTCTTCCTCGTATTGCACGTCACGGCCGTTGCGGTTCAACAGCGGCGTTGAAATCTCCAAAGGCGAAGGTGGCCCTCGAGGCGACGAAAATTCCGTCCGAAAAGGTTCCGTCGCCATCCATCCGTCATTTCCCGCATTTCTGGGATTTAAATCTGCTGGCCAGAATGGGATTTAGACCCGTGGAAAACTGCCCCTCCGTATCTACTCGAGCGCCATCTTGGAAGTCGGGGGCGCACGTTACTCCTGGTAGAAAGAAAGACGAATGCGTGATTATAACGTAACGTGTGCCTGCACCTGGGTTAAAAATGTCGAGGAAAGAGCGGGGCAGAAAACGAGGAAAAAGGGTTACACGGTAATGCCTTGAGCGTAGCAGTCTCGGCTCGAGTGCACCGGGCGATTCCACGAGGACTTTTATGACATGTAACCCGACATTAGCCCCGGCGCAAGTGCGCGTCGCGAGGAGCGGTACAGGGTATCGAGAAAGTTTCTCCCTGGCGCGGCTCGTTGCGGGAGAAAATCCGCAAAATCGAGGGTCGCGGAGTTTTACCCGCGAGTTAATCGCGCCCACGCCCTATCCGCGCCCTGTGCGTCCTTGTGCGTCCCTATGCGTCGCGCGGGCAGACGCGCCGCAGACTGCGGCCGCCGCTGGCGCGAGCGTCGCGCCATCTGGCGGGCGCACCGGGGAACCTCCGTCGTACCTGTCGTACTAATCATGGTAAAAGCCGCACGCCCCGTAATATCCGGCCGGCCCTCCTTGCCTAGCTTGTCTTACTAAATGGGAATACGAGGAGGTGTTACTTCGCTTTCTTTCTTTCCAGGAGCTGGCGCGACATTACGCCGAAAGCCCGGATCGAGGATTTCGACCTTACTTCCGGGAAGACGTCGGTCTTCGGATGCGCGCAGGGAGGTGGAAAAAGGAAAAGTCCCGCTTCTTGATGGATTGGGAGGAATCCTAGACCGATGGGTTATTCATGGCTCGCCCTTCTTTTTTTATTCCTAAGTAGCGCAAGGATGTAAGTGTTATCAAAGAATTCAGAAGTCCCATAGAAGCCCAGATCCTATGTTAGCGCTTGATGCTTTAAAAGTTGGCTAACAAACCAGAAGTGGGGGAAAAGAGAGGTCGCATGTGTTAGCAAACGATATCTCACATACGAAGAGAGACGAATATAGAAAGGCCAGTATTGTGGGTAAGATAAAGAAAGAATGCAATTCCCTATATGTCGCCATAAGATTAAGAGAGATGGAGAGATGATTACAGCGCCGCCATCTGTTGGCTAACATACTATTCATCGAGCATCGAACGTCCGTATCCTTCTGGGCTTCTGTGGAGGCTTCTGAATTCTTTGGTATTATTAAGAAGAAAGGCAAAAAATATTCATTTTAACTCCCGGCACATTCGGCCAGACATTTTGGAAGACCTAGCATTAAAGAGCGAGGGAAGGAAAAGTCGGATATAATTTGAAAGCCAGAGTTGGCCGCCTCGGTCTTGATGCCAGTCTAGGCGGTGGATGTCCATCCACGATGGTCAGGCTAAATTGTGATTTATGCCCGCGGCCAAGTCCGACGGGCTTTCCGTTCTTGTCGGATAGGAGAGCGAATCGTAAATGTAACCAGTCGGGAAGGCTCGGCCTAATTCAGACAAACGAGCTGCCGCAAAGTAATCATCCTTTCGCGCGACATAACCCTTTTTTTCCGGGTTCCTACTTCGCGGAACTCGTTCTCCCGATGTTCATTTGCCGAGGAATGGAAGTTCCGGTTTCCTGGTACCCTCGACAGAAGACGTTATCGCCGTTAAAGTTATGTTGTAAATTTGTGTTGATCGGTACTTGATGTTAAACGCTATTTTTTGTCCAAAAAAATTTGACACATGTTCCAGGTACGTTCGAGGATGATTTTAGGAACAGCTCTACCTTAAACGCCGACGAGAAATCTTTTTGCAATTATCGGTGGTATCTAACCCTCAACTCACGGAAAAGTAGCAGGTACGTTGTCCACGATGCTACCGGAGTTTTCTACTGACGGTGAGAATTTAAAAAAAATATTATTTAAATATTTCTCGGACTCAAGAATGTCGCTACAATGCTTCTCCCCTAGTACCACCGATACCTGTCGCCTTTCGATTAAATTTCTTTAAAAATAAACTTACGTAAACAATCATAAAATTAAAAACTCATTTTCAAAAATTGCAAACAATGCGTACTAAATGACTGTCGAATATCAAATTTGTAATTTCTCCCCGGAATTTCAAGAAATTACAACGCGCTGTTATAAAATTGTAAATTCATTTAGAATTTTACAATAAGGCGTATACTAATTTACTATTAAGACGTGAAAATTATAATTTCACTGCAACCTCATGTACTGAAAGTGTATGAATTTTATGAATTTTTTAAATTCATACATACAATGCATCCTGCCTATACGGTTCGGTGTATACCTTGTGTATGTATAGGGTATACACCGAGTCGTTTGAAACGTTGTCTCGCGAACGTCGATTCGAGGTGCGAAATTGGGTCTTTTTCCCATTTTCGAAATCGATCTCGAAGGGGTCAGGGGGAGGGTCACGTCTCAAAGGGTGCTCCGTCGCGGCGCGAGTCTCGGGGAGCACTCGAGGTCTTGAAGCACCGAGCACAGCGTCGGTGCGGAGCTTTGGCTTACCGTCAGGGTGGTACTTTCGTCGTTGATTTCGCTTCCCCGGGCTCGAGGTAAAGCTCGATCTCAAGCCGAGCCCGAGAGTGCGCCCCGGAAGGGCTGGGCAAGGGTTCAACGAGGGAGCCGCCTTGGAGACCCTCGCGATTTCAGCCTGCCAAGGAGCATCGCGAACCGAGCTCCGGACGAAGTCCGACCTGGAGTCTGATGCCGCACAATAGCCTCGGTAAAAATTACGTAAACCGATTATGATATCAATAAACCCTTTATGAAACCGATATACCCTTTAGGATGAGACGGAAGGCGCTGAGAAATGTAATCCAGGTCGATCCAATGAAATTCATCCATCCCCTTTTTGGGGGTCCCTCTGCAGTTTTACTTGGATTTCTTTATAATTATTGTACGCAAAACCACAGATGGAGTATGCCACTTAGTACAATACCCAATGTCGTTCGATACAGCTGTCGATATAAAAATCAACCTCAGGAAAGTAGGTATTTTGCAAGAATCTTCTTTACCGACGTCTATCAAGTTCCTCGACGTGTTTCACATCACCTTAATCCCTGTAAAGGTTTAATCGCCTCCCTCTCTTCAGACCTTCTGAATTCCGTTTATTTGCAGGGGTCGCGGAATACCCGCGATGAATTTACATGGAACCGAGTCCAGGAATTGACCCCGTTCCGCCAATCCTCTGCGGGGCTGAGCGAATCGGAAAAGAGAGGTATCCGGCAAAAGAAGCGTCCTCGACTTCACGGCGGCTTTACGCCGAAGGGTGCTCGGCGTCGAATTATTGTGTTTCATCGCCGGGACGCTTTTTGGAACCAGCGGAGGCTACTACTCCGATATCGGTTACGACGCTTCCTCGTATCGGCGACCCTTGAGCGTCTATAAGGGCTCTTCCTAGACTTCTGCGTCTTCCGTCTTGCTCCCTCGTCTCGGCTCCGCGTTTCGCCGTCCTTCTCGCCACGACGACGTCGAGTTTCACCCTTACGAGTTTCCAAACCGCTCGCGCTAAACGAGAGCTGACGAGAACACGCGTAATTTCCGATCGAGTGAGCACTCGCTCAAAGATTCAGTGGGTTAAACGAATTCGGAGGGACGGCCGAGCTCTTTACGCACGTGCGTTTACGGTTTGCCGATACGAGCGGGGGAGTTAAGGTGAAGTGAAACCCCCCTCAAATCAATCGATTCGAATTGTTATTTTTTAAGGGTACTGGACCAAATCGTCCGAAACTTTGAAACGTGACTCGTGATTATCTAGGAATAGTCCTGGCAAGTTCAAAATTTGAATTATTACGCACGTGCGTTTACGATTTGTCGATACGAGCGGGGGAGTTAAGGTGAAGTGAAACCCCCCTTAAATCCGTCGATTCGAATTGTTATTTTTTAAGGGTATTGGACCAAATCGTCCGAAACTTTGACACATAACTCGTGATTATCTAGAAATAGTCCTGGCAAGTTCAAATTTTGGATTTTTACGCACGTGCGTTTTCGGTTTGCCGATACGAGCGAGGGAGTTAAGGTGAAGTGAAACCCTCCTCAAGTCAGTCGATTCGAATTTGCATCACCTTAACTCAAGGGGAGGAGGGTTTTTTGCCGACACCTGGAAAATCGTCGGTCGAGGAAAATTGACCCCGATAGGCGGAATCGTTTAATTCCCGCCGAGGATTACGGGTGCAGGTAATC